TTCACTCCATAACACTTCGCCAAAAAGAATGTGTTTCTCCTGGACTAATTGTTCGATTCAGATGTTCGAGTGCACATTCTTTTTGGAAATCAATGATCTAAAATTGTATCGGTCCTGATTGGAAGAATAAACATTTTTTTATTCGCCAGAGATTTTTGAAAATCACAAAAATTCTGGATACTCCACCAATTTGTTTCTTTCAATTATTGGATTTTCAAATGTTCCATTATGTACTAAACCAACATTTTAAGAGAATTATACCAAGCAGAGAGGAGAAATTACTCGAAGAAGTCGAAATTTACTAATTTCCGACAAAATATTTTACCTTCATGCCCTGAGTAACTTGAAAGTTATGGATTAGGTTGTAAAATGCCTGGTTAGGACCTCAACATTTCCTATAAAAACCATCAACTTTATAGACAAATTGCATAGTTGGAAACTACTCATTACAGACTTCAAACATAACTTCATGGTCCTAGTGAGCATTTAGTTATCAATTAGGTAATATTTAACATCAAAATCACCAGTAAAATGTCTTCCAGGCCCTCGAACTATCAGGATATTTATTGGAGTTGAAATTGACCAAATTCTAACTTAATAAACGATCATAAAGTCAGGGAATAATCAGATGGAGACAATAAGTCGGATTTATACTCTGTTTTGCCTATTTTTGACCAATTGAGTCGAAGGAGTTTCTTAGACTTTTTTTAACCTAATCAGTACCAACTTCATATCCGATGAAGGCAAGATTACCACTATAAAATCCTTATAGAACGAAGTGTCCTTGAGAGAGCCGAGAATACCAAAATTAGTCCTAAAATCATGTTCTCAAAGTTGATGACTATTATTGATCCTGGTGCTTTGAGGTCGGCAAATGTTTTGAAATGATCATTAATTTCTGAAAATATTAAAAACTGGAGACAAGCGCAATGTATAAGTTTTGAATGTTTTATTCTTTATCACCAGTGAGTGGTTCAGGTAGCTTACCGCTTGAACGCTTGTAAAGCAAATCATGATATCTTTCTATACATTACGATGATGTTTGATCATCTAAACCATCGATTTGTTTTGACATTCGAAGTTTTACTTCTACTTATTCCATTGGTCAGATCTGAATGCATATTTCAAATAACTTTTATAAAAAAAAACAGGTATCAATTATTACACTTCGGTTGAGAACGTACAAAAATGGCAAATGTACTGAAAGTATACTAAAACGGCAACACTGTTCGAGAGATGACAACACGGCGATGGACTTTTCTGATTCGCTGAAAAATGAAGCCTGTCATCCAGCGACCAATTAGAAAACATACCGTGGTGCAGAATAAGAAATTGAAAGCGAACAACGAACATTCAACAAATTATATGATTATAGGGAACATCTGATAATATAAATCCATCAGGTTGACTGCTACTCAAATAATATACTCATTGATATAGTCTAAAATCCCAATATGGGGAAATTGGGCTCCATAGTCAGAATATACAGAATTTTCGACTATGAACGAAGCCTATTCGCCCTGAAAGTTGAAGATTCTGGAAAATTCGACTTTCAAGTCCAATATGAAACCGACGCCATATTTGTTGGCTCGAACCTTTTTCGCCATTGACGGAAAAAGAAGAAATCTCTACATAGCGACCACATCCTAATGAATAGTAATACAGAAAAGGTTAAATTTCGCATATATGATCATATTCTACCAGTTGATTCATTTTTAGATGGAATTGTTGAAAAATAATTCGAAAACACAAAGAATATCATCCAGTATTTTTCTACAAATCCAATAATTTCGTGGGCCCACTAATTTTACATGTGTAAAATCAACATTATCACAATAAATTTTGCATCGCAGGTTGAATAACGACTCACAACAACCTCAAATAAGCTTAACAACATGCATATTATCTACACCTTCCACTACTATCAAGTTTTCTTTTGAACGCCATGTTCATAAACTCCTAAGTCTCCACACGTAAATAAGTAGGTATAGTCGATCGTGAAACACGGTACATATTTGTTTTCCGAACCCAACCAAATGACAGTAAACCAGGTAGAAATCTTAGTAAACCCACCCATAAGTAGGTAATGAATAACGTCAGAATAACTAAAATCAGACCACTATCGGACTAGAATTAGGACAATTTCACCTAATTGTTTCCTCGACCTATTGGTCAGGATACCCTAATATCCCTATTCTCGTCTTCTGAATTACTTCCAGTTTTTTCCCCATATTGGTAAATTTGAAGTAAATAAGACGTAATATTCACTTAGGCCAAATAAGTCGTTGACCTATTCTAAGGTCGAAATGACGTATATTATACCTAAAATGTTTGTTGGGGTACAGTTCTTTATTTTTGAAATAACTCTAAGAAATCCATATTCAATTGAATTTTCATGGAGCCTGAAGCAAAATAATAATAATCGTTTATTCGAGATTAGCACATTCACTCCATAACAAATTGCATAGAAATGAGTGTATCTACTGGACTATTTGTTCGATTTCGATGTTCAAGTACTCATTCTCTTCAGAAATGAATAGCCTAAGATGACATCGGTACAGGTTGAAAAAATTCTGATTTTCTTTTTCTCCAGCGGTTCTTGTAAATGACAATACTTTGGTAGAATTCGCCATTTGGTTTTTGTTCATTGTGGGATTTTCAAATATTCCACTGTATACTATAGCCCTTTAGCTATAGAACGACGTCAAGAAATTCGAATTCGGTTGAGAAATGATGAAACCACGAGGAAAATAAAAACTTCCGGTTTTTTTGTGACCACCCGATAGATATACATTGAGAATTCGCATCCTCTATGTGATGAAAATATCAATTCTTTCTCGGTTTATTCAACAGAAAACAACTACTTTCCTGACTGTATGCTACGACAAACATTGAATATTGATCTGATTGAATATTGATGGGGGAAAATGTAAATTATCCACTTCAGAAGATTTTGTTTTCAAATTCTTATCGTGTGTGTTCAATAAATGTAATTCAATGTTCGTCATGGCATATAGCCAGGGAAGTAGTGGTTTTCTGTTGAATAGACTGAGAAAAAATTGATTTCTTCATCACATAGAGAATGCGAATTCTCAATATATTTCTTCATATATATATATATATATATATATATATATATATATATATATATCCATTTTTGTATGTTCATAATTATATCTGATAATATTCCTTTTCGATAATGACAAATTGTTCAGAGCATACTTCAATATTTCAATATTTTTTATCGTCAAATATCTTTTACACTGTTTCTATTTCCATCTCTCCCGCGACTTCAATAGGTAGAAGCAGACTCTTGAATCGCATATACATATTATGTAACTTTACCTCAATTGTGATAATGTTTCTCTAATAATGGATTTGGGAACATCACATTTTCAATATTACTAACCCGTTTCAGTAGTTGTTGCGAATTTTGATGAATAGATAGATAGATAGATAGATAGATAGATAGATAGATAGATAGATAGATAGATAGATAGATTTATTTCTTAATACAGTGAGTGCAAAAAAATACATTTTTTCACAAATCAATGCAAGTTCCTAAGAACATTTGAGATAACGAGAGAGAAAAATAAATAATGTATACAAATCGGAGTTGATATTTGGCAATACTTTACAAATTTAGTGAAAGTATAATCTTTGACAGAAATTATCATTTATATGTACAATGAATAGATGTTTCGGTATTGGCTTTTGTGAATTTAATGAAATATGTTTTTTTACTTCATTCTGGTTTTCCTTTTTCATAAAATATTTGAAGTCAAATAGGTTAGTGCGTTTAGGATAAACAGTCTCATTTTATTCAATTTTGTTGAAGAACTCAACTTTTGAAATATATTATTAATCAATGTGTTTCTACACTCCATTCGGTTTTCCTTCCTCAAAAATATTGCAATCAGGGATAGGTTAGTTCGTTGAGGATAAATAGTCTCTGAGTTTTGCCTAAGTAAAGTACTTTGAAGATGAGATATAACGTGGTAGGTATGTGCTACTTTTTCAATCGATTTATTTATATGAATCAGCTACGTTGTGCTGTCAAAGATTAGATTTTGCAGGATTGTGCTGGGCTCGATTATATTTTGCAATGCCGTAGTAGGGGGCGTGTCTTGTGCTGCAATAGTTTATATTTAGTAAAATCGCGGCCCGGACAGCTTTTTTTTGTAATATAAATGTGGAATTTGAGTTAACTGAGTTTCCCCAGAATTCAACTCCGTAGTTTAGAATACTATAAAAATAGGCAAAATCAGCAGCGGTGCCGATATTAATTCTAATTGTGGAAATTGCATAAACGGCGCTTGCCAGTTTATTGTTAATATAAGATATATGAGATTTTCAATCCAATTTATCATCGATGATAAAGCCCAAGAACTTTGTATGCGTCACGGGGATTATGTTACCATCAATAGTTGTAATTTGTAATGATTCGTTGTGTTTATTCGGGAGTATGGTCATATTTAATGTTCTTTCTAGGTTAATCATAAGCTTATTGGCCCTGAACAAGTCAACTATATTATTGAGGCTAAGTTGGGTTTCTGTTTTCAGTTGCACAATTTCTGGACTACTATTTAAAATGCTGGTATCATCCGCAAATAAAAAGAAATGTGACGACGGAAAGTTTGAGACTAGGTTTTTTTTAAAGAAGAAATAGTGTCCTAGTATCGAACCTTGAGGTACCCCGCACGTGAGCGTGTCTACACGAGATCGTAAATTTGAGATTTCACCGTTTGAAGAAAATGGTCACTGGAACGGAATACCTCTAAAGCCAAAGTAGTATAATTTACTCAATAAAATATCGTGATCGACACAGTCGAAAGCCTTTGTTAAGTCGCAAAAAATGGCTAATGGAATAGACTTCTTTTCGATAATGATATTGATCATCACCATCGTTGATATAACATTATACATTGCTGCAATATTGTTAGAATATTACTTTTGCGAATCAAGTCATTTATTATTAAGAAAAAATGGATCACACTCACCTTTTCTGATTGTATCTCACAACTAAATGTCAAGTGAACTGGTATCTTTCCTGTTCTCAAATATATCTACTCTCGCACAAGTACCTGTCAAGACAAATTTCAATTATTGAACAATAATAATTGATAAAAAGATATGAATCTATGGAATAAATGTAACAAAAGAAAAATACCTTGATGTGTTTTGAATAGTCGAGTGGCAAACTATATGAACTGAGGATTTGCCAGTACTACAGGTTTTATCTAATGCATGTAAAATTTCGTCTATGTACAGGATGCTAAAATCAAGAGTGACAGATCTAGAAATATTAAGGACAAGATATCATAATATATTACTTCCTTGCCTATACGAATGAAGATAAGTTAACATAACTGCACAAAAACAAAGACATTGCAGAGTTTTCAGATCAATATCCACATATCCCAAATCAATTTGTACTGATGAAAACTTTGATGAATTCTGAAAAACTATTATGATATATGGCAATAAAGAAGTTTGTTTGTAGCCCGATATATCCTATCATATCATAATAATATAATATATAAATATGTCCTGAATTACAGTTGAAAATCAATCACCCTGTATAACTGGCATTGAGATCTGAAATGAATTCTCTAGAATTCCTCTGATGAATAAGTTCTTCATCTTTGATATATGGGCCGCTTTATAGTATTAATTTGGATGAATTTATTCCAATGAATCGTTAAATCAGAAGAAGGTGAGACGTTTTAACCAAATTGGTTTATTTTCTATTTCTGGAAGTGGAGGTAGTCGGATCTGTGCCTTATAGATCATAAGCAGCTGACCGGAAGTGGAATAGCTCCTAGCCCGAAACAGGAAACCAAGTTTTTGGGATACACTTCTAGCAATTGATCTTACGTGATTTTCCCAAGAAAGGTTATTGTTGATAGTAATACCAAGCATGGAGATGGATGTCTTCAAAGGTATGGTTACTCCTGACAAGCTTATGTTGGGCACAGTGAGATCGGTTTTTCTAGAGAGAAGGCATACTTGTGTTTTGTTTGCATTGAAATCTACCAAGTTATTGGATCCTGATTCGAGTAATGTTGCCAAGTCCATATTCATGTTGTCGACATTTCTCCCTCGTTCGTTTCTGATCTGCCTGGCTGGTATTGGAGCCCTGGAAGAGAAGGTGATATGGAGGGTACTATCATGATGCTTTTCAACAATAAAATGTGGATATGGAATAGTAAATAAAATATATGACCTAGAGCCTAATATTTTCATCATCAATCACAAATGGAATAGTATATCACATAACTAACTATAGTGTGAATATTATCTGTTCTTATCAATTGATTCTATGTTCGTGATTTTTATTCAATTTTCCAAATTATAACTCTCAATCTATCATCAGAAAATGCCAAAGCAATAACATATGCAGTTCCCCTATCGAGCGTCAATGGATATAGGGATTGAGGTTGTGTTTTCCATTCTGTTACTACTTTCATCATTTGATTTCCTACCAGCAGCTTCGCTTTTCCTCACATCCTACCTACACAGGCTTTCATCTATCATATATAAAGAGTTGGATCATCCTCACAATTAGTTATGTTTGAGGTTGGGCTTTCCAATTTTTTTGCGAACAATAACTCAGAAACTATATATCATCTACATTTTCTCTACTTTAGTGTCAGCATTGCTACCAAACTGTTTTGGTATAACAGAGCATTATGTCTCTGTTTGCTGAACTGGTTAAGCACGTACCTACTCTTCTCGGCTTCCAAACATCCTCATATGATGAGAATCGCCTTGAAGAAGGGCTTCGAGAATTTTGAGAAAATATGAGAATTTTGGGGAGAAGCAACTCTTGGAAGCTTTCCAGACGTATCTGAAATAGTTTCGAAACCAGTTCGAAGCTCTTCAGAAGAAGAGATCTGGACTTATATAAAGAAAGGAAACTGCATGGGATAGAGTTCGCTGCGCAGATTCTCTGTCTGCTATCAATAGCAGGATTCGGACTGGAGTTATCTCGAAGTTGACTGATTGTGGTGCTCTAATCAGAATACGTCTTCAGAACGCTCCCAAGAAATATGTTGCAGTCATGGTCAATTCAGTTCTCTGTGGGGAGCTTGAGATTGTGAAGGGCTCTGATTTGAATGTATGGTTTGATGACAAAATCCTGGGACCTATTCTTGTCGAGTTAAATGAATTTCAGGAAAGAGATTCAGTCTGGGCGCTGAAGAACATTATTAATCTGGGGGTGAACATCGATGAGTTTACTCCTCAACTCGAATCTTCTCCATTGAATTACCCCCTCCCTCACATGAAGTGAAAGCAAGCTTGCCAACGTCAAAAACAAAGATGCATTATGCTTTGCTTGGGCGGTGACATCCGCTTAATATCCTGCTGATTGGAAAAATAGTGATCGAACATTCTCATACCCACATCCTTCTACAGTTCTCAATATCAAGGGCATTCCGTTTCCAATGACTGCCAAACAGATTTATCAGTTCGAAAACAGAATGGGTTGTCAATCAATCTTTACATTCTATAGAAGAAGTCCCAAGTCCCCCCTATCAAGTATCACTATTGTTGGATAAAGTATCTGTCCAGACTTCTATCTTCTCAACTGAGCAGAGAAAATGAATATTAATTCTTCTGCGAGCGTTGTCTCCATTATTTCCGGTCGCAAGATAAGCCCGATAAACATGTTGAGAATTGCGTAAGAATGAATGATACTGCAATCAGAATGCCGGAGGATGGCAAGAATATTCTGGAATTCAAGAACCATAAGAACAGAAAGAATGCTTTATTCATGGTATATGTTGATCTGGAGTCTGTTTTGAGGAAAACTGATCATTCGAAGGAGCCGCAGCATCACGTTCCAGCTGCCGTAAGATACTTTATGAAATGTTCATATGACGATCCTTCTCCTTTTATCGCTCATATCGTGGGCAGGACTGTATGGCGTGGTTCGCTGATGAGGCCAAACAAATGGCCAAGGATATGACTACGGTATATTTATATCCATACAACATCAACATGACCGCTGAGCCGGAAGCAAAATTCTTGAAATCAATACACTGCCACATATGTGAAATACCTTTTGGATCTGATGATTAGAAAGTTCGCGACCATACTAATCTGATTGCAGAGTATAATTATGGAGGTCCAGCATATGAAAGCTGCAACATTTGGTACCAGGATAGTCATGTGGTGCCTGTTATGTTTCACAATCTTCGTGGATATGATGCATATCTCATCATTGAGGATATTACATCTTGAACGCAGGGTCGAGGTGATTTGTTGCCAATTACCTAAGAAATAGTATATTACACACCGAGGTGGAAAGAGATTCATTCCTGTAGTGAGATTAGTTAGTTAACCGAGACGCAAAGCGTCGAGGATAGCTATGATCTCGAGATAGGAATAAAACTTCCTACCGAGGTTTGTATACTATTTCATTTACAACTATCATATTTCGATCAAAATTAATAAATCTCTGTTTCGTTCTGAACAAAACTATAATATTACATAATTATGTGAGGGCGGGAATTAGAGGTGTGTGACACTTCCCAACCTTCAATATCGTTAGTAATGACAACATTACATATATGGTTGTGAATAATAGTATATCGTGCAACAAGTTCAACTTTTCTCACGAGTGCAAAAGTTTGTAGCACGAGCCTGAGGGTTGAGTGATGCAAACACACGATTTAGAAAAGTGCTTTTCCCCACATGTTGCACACTATACTTTTTCTACAATTGCACTTATTCAAAGAATCCGAGTAATGTAACTTATTCATTTTATTGTGACCAGAGAGTAGACGCCTTTCCTAGTTCCTCAAAGTATTTCAAAAGGGTACATCTCGAAAAAGATTTCATTTCTGTATTTTTTTAGATTCTATAAATTTTTCGTATATTATGCCAATTCATACTCTTTATTGAAATTTTCGGTAATCGGTATATGAAGTCGTGGAAATACACCAAGTCACAAAAGAAAAGCCTGTAGAATTTCTGGTTACCAGTCGTATGTGTATTCTTAAGTATTCCAGATTTCGACAATCATGATAATCATGGTAACGAATATGGCAGTTCATCGAAGTCCACGAGAACGGATATAGGAGTGTATGTGCGTACCATTACAAGTTGCCATGTTTTTTTTCTCAAAGATTCGTGATATATATTTACCTAAAAAAACGAATAACTATAAGTGAACACTGAATAGTATTCTCGCGGAAAATCAATTCGGGAAACCTGAGGAGAAGTTTTTCAATACCTACCCGAAATAAATGTTGAAAATACGAAATTCGAATATGAGATCTCCTGCACCATGAACAAATAAGGATAACTCTTGATATTTCAATACCTACCTTCTCTCCCTTTCCACCCCAGGGATGGACGATGTTCTACGAACATAAAATAGTGATTCTCTCTCGTTCGACTTGCGCGATAATAAAAATTAAAAATATTAGCTGCAATCCAGAATATGACTTCAACCTTATCGGATTTTGGAATAAATGAACTATAAGATTTCTCAAGCTGTTCAACATCATCTTTTTTTCGCAAATATATTTACAAGCGATTGATGCTTTGGCAAAAAAAAATATCAAAAACATTTATTAGTTTTCTCCCCTCATTTTAAAAAAAAATATAGAGATATAAAAGTATCTGTGGATGACAGGGCGTGGAGATTTTTCTTTGCCCCGAAGTGTTCAAAAATTTATTTTCAAACCTGAAAGAATTACTCTCCATATCAACTATAGAGGTTTCGGAAAACATTCTGTATCCATTATCAACATGAAATTCTTTCGAACAAATGTTTTGTCTTTGGCTTTCTGCAAGAAAGTGAGTAAGTAGTATAACTCACATGAATTATATTTCGAATAATAATTCCTTGTCACCATCAACTTAATTTAATATGAATTATTCAGGAAGTAACATTTTTCAAAAACAAATATTTTCATTTGAACTCATTGACCCTTCCTCCGATGACGTATCGCTCTCATCTGAATTGAAAGTTATCACGACAGGTTCAATATCGTCTCCCATGCCGAAAATATCACTTTTTCTGTATGTCGTACATAATTTCTCCAATGCTCCACACCCACAGCTTCTAACGCCTTTGACCAGACCATTATCACATCTCCCTGGGATGATTTAGTTTTGATGATTTCGGCGTCATAAATCCTTTTAGCCTCTGACCACACCATTTCTATGGCATTTTTTCTGTGACGGGAAAAAAGTTTG